TAAGCTAAAAAATCTCTAGACTTTTAATTGGGATATATTGAATCTATACACAAGTTTGGGAAATATTGACATATGAACAATATTGAGTATTCCAATATTTGAACCTGGTATATTTCTCCATTTGTTTAGATCTTCTTTTATTTCCCAGCAGTGTTTTATAATTCTTAGAGTTTTAAGTCTCTCATATCTTATATCCTATTTACCCATAATTATTTTGTATTTTTAAAATTTTTTTGTGGTTGTAGATGGACAGCACGCCTTTATTTTATTTATTTTTGTATGAGGTGTTATGGATCAAACCCAATGCCTCACAAATGCCAGGCAAGTGCTCTGCCACTGAGCCCCAGCCCCAACCCTATTTCATATTTTTATACTATTATAAATATTATTTTTTAAAAATTATAGTTATAGATGGACAGCATGACTTTATTTTATTTATTTATTTTTTTGTAGTGCTGAGGATTGAACCCAGTGCCTCACACATGCTAGGCAAGTGCTCTGCCACTGAGCTATAGCCCCAGCCCTATAGAATATATTTTAACTCCAATTTTTCACCGGAAAGTTTTTTTGTTTTTGTTTTTTTCTTTGTTCTTTTTAGTTATACATGGGAGTAGAATGTATTTTGACATATTATACATACAAGTTCATACATGGAGTGTAATTTCCCATTCTTCTAGTTGTACATGATGTGGAGTTACAATGGTTGTATATTCGTATATGAACATAAAAAGTTATGTCTGATTCATTCTACTGTCTTTCCTATTCTCATCCCTCCTCCCCTCCTTTCACTTCCCCTCTTTTAATCTACCCACCACCTATTGTGAGTCAACATCCACATATCAGAGAGAACATTCGACCTTTGTTTTTTTGGGATTGGTTTATTTCACTTAACATGATAGTCTCTAGTTTATCGGCAAATGCCATAATTTCATTCTTCTTTAAGGCTTAGTAATACTCTATTGGGTATTGGGTATATGTACCACATTTCCTTTATCCATTCATCTGTTGAAGAGTACCTAGATTGGTTCCATAACTTAGCTATTGTGAATTGAGCTGCTATAAACATTGATGTAGCTGTGTCACTATAGTATGCTGATTTAAATTCCTTTGGTTATATGCCAAGGAGTAGGATAACGGGGTCAAATGGTAGTTCCATTCCAGGTTTTTTGAGGACTCTCCATACTGCTTTCTAGAGTGATTGCACCAATTTGCAGTCTCACCAGCAATGTACGAGTGTATCTTTTTCCTCACATCCTCGCCAACACTTATTATTACTTGTATTCTTGATAATTGCCATTCTGAGTGGAGTGAGATGAAATCACAGTGTAGTTTCAATTTGCATTTCTCCAATTGCTAGAGATGTTGAATATTTTTTCATATATTTGTTGACAGATCCTATTTCTTCTGTGAAGTGGCTGTTCAGTTCCTTTGCCCATTTATTGATTGGGTTATTTGGTTTTTTTGGTGTTAAGGTTTTTTTTTGGGGGGGGGGGCGGGGGCGGAGGTTCGATTGAAGTCAGGGGCACTTGACCACTGAGCCACATCACAGACCCTGTCTCTAAATAAAATACAAAAGGGCTGGGGATGTGGCTCAAGCAGTAGTGCGCTTGCCTGGCATGCGTGCGGCCCGGGTTTGATCCTCAGCACCACATACAAACAAAGATGTTGTGTCTGCCGAAAACTAAAAAATAAATATTAAAGATTCTCTCTCTCTCTTAAAAAAATAAATAAATCTTCTCTGTTTTATGTGACTTTAAAAAATAAAATAAAATACAAAAAATCCCCAGCCCTATTTTATATTTTATTTAGAGACAGGGTCTGGGTTGCTTATTACCTCACTGTTACTGAGGCTGGCTTTGAACTTGTGATCTTCCTGGCTCAGCCTCCCAAGACTGGGATTACAGGCATGCACCGATGCACCCGGCTCCTGGTGTTAAGTTTTTTGAGTTCTTTATATATCCTGGAGATTTATGCTCTTTCCAAGGTGCAGATGGCAAAGATTTTCTCCCATTTTGTAAGCTCTCTCTTCACATTCTTGATTGTTTCTTTTGCTGTGAAGAAGCTTTTAAGTTTGATACCGTCCCATTTTTTGATTCTTTTTTTTTTTTTTTTTTGAGAGAGAGAGAGAGAGAATTTTTAATATTTATTTTTTAGTTTTCGGCAGACACAACATCTTTGTTTGTATGTGGTGCTGAGGATTGAACCTGGGCCGCATGCATGCCAGGCGAGCGCGCTACCGCTTGAGCCACATCCCCAGCCCCCTGAATTCTATTTTAAAAAGCTCACTTTATGCATAAAGTTCCCAAACAGGACTGACAGAAGCATCTAGTCGATTTACACAGTAATGAGAAATAATAAATATTTCTTTTTTTTTTTTTTTTTTTAAAAAAAGCTCATTCTGGATGTTATATGGGTACTGAAAGTGGAGCAAAGGTAAAAACATGGATACCAGTCAGGAAGCTAAGAAATAATTAAAACAGTTGGATATGGTGGCTTTAGACCCTGATGGTGGCAGTAGAGTAAGAAGTGTTGGAATTCTGAATATATGCTAAAGGTAGAGCCCATGGGGCATACTGACAAATATTGGTATGAGATAAAGAGAGGAATCAAGGACAATTTCAGGGGTTTTATAAGAGCAGCTAGAAGTGTGGAGTTGCTATTATAATGAGGTAGGAAAGACTATGAGTGGAAAAGATTTTGAGAAGCTGATTAAGAATTCAGTTTTGGTCAATTTAAATTTGAATAAAAGCTTAAGATGAGAAGCAAGGTATGAGAAAGGATTCAGAAGTAAGCCCATAGATGATATTTATTTAAAATCTAAAACTAGATGAGGTCACCAAGAGAGTGTAGGTACAAAGGGAAAATGTATGTGTCCAGTGGCACTCCGCCTTAGAGGTTGGGAGCTAAAGAGGGACTGGGGATATAGCTCAATAACAGAACCCTTGTCTAGCATGTACGAGGCCCTATATTCAAACCAACACCACAAAAAAGAAAGACAAGGAAAAGAAGAAGACCTCCTCTATGTTAAATTATACAACTAGATTATTGTTATTACTACTGAGGATTGAACACAGGGCCTTAAGGCAATTACTCTACTGGGCCATACCTCCTATAATCTAATTATTTTCAATTATATCATTTTTTAAAAGTAATTATTAGTACCTAGAGAACTCTAAAAAATTGGGCATAGGCCCATCTCCAGGGCTCATTTCTTTTAAACCATTACTTTGTTTTATAAACACGCTTTAAAAAAGTACATGATTGAATGGTGCTGGGGATGTGGCTCAAGTGGTAGCGAGCTCGCCTAGCATGCATGAGGCACTGGGTTCGATTCTCAGCACCACATAAAAATAAAGATATTTGTCCACCTAAAACTAAAAATAAATATTTAAAAAAAAGTACATGATTTGCCAGGTGCATTGGAACACTCCTATAATCCCAACTACTTGGAAGGCTGGCAGGAGGATCACAAGTTCAAAAAGCCAGCCTCAGAAATTTAGTGAGATCCTGTCTCAAAATAAATATGGACTGGGGATGTGGCTTAGTGGTTAATTGCCCCTGGGTTTAATCCCTGACTCAATCAATCAATCAATAAATAAAAGTGCATGACTTGAGGTGTTCAAAACAAATCTTTCCAGGTGTGGGAGCACAAGACTGTAATCTCAGCCACTCAGGAGCTTGAGGCAGGCAGATTTCATGTTTGAGTCCAGCCTTAGCAATTTAACAAGACCCTCAGCAATTTAGAGAGAGCCCTGTCTCAAAATTAAGAATAAAAAGGACTGGAGATATAGCTCAGTGGTACAGTGCCCTGGGTTCAATCCCCAGTACAAAAAAAAAAAAAAGCATATCTATGAGTAGGGAAATATTACAGATTACCACAGGAAATGAATAGATAGTTCATTTGTAAGATTATTGCTGGCATAGTGGCACATACCCATAATCCCAGCTACTCAGGAGGCTGAGGTAAAAGGATTACAAGTTCAAAGCCAGTCTTAGCAATTTAGAATGTGTTTCAGTTAAAAAATAAAAAGAGCTGGGAACATAATTCAGTGGTATACAATAGTATACCACACCTGGGTTCAATCCCTAGTATTGTAGAGGGGATAAGGTTATAGTTAGTAGGACTTTTATCTACTCTCAATGGACAAACAGGATGCTGATTTGTATTTTCTGCGGGAGGGACTGACACAGATGATAATGAAACAACAGTAGACGTTTGAGATACAATAGAGTAAGAGTTTATGAGTGTGGCCAAAGCTGGTGGGAAGGCTTTTCTATTGCCAAGGAAGATAAATATATTTAATGCTATGCTTCTCTTATAGAGGAAGAAGAGGTGACATACATAGTCATTGATCAGTTCCAGCAGAAGTTTGGTGCTGCAGTAAGTATTATCCTCAATCATTTCTAATATTGGGAATGGTATTATATTTGTGTTTCATAGATTTTTTAAAAAACTTTATTTATTTATTTATTTATTTTTATATGGTGCTGAGGATCGAACCCAGGGACTTGCATGTGCAAGACAAGTGCTCTACCACTGAGCCATAACCCCAGCCTGCCCGCCTATAGATTTTTTTTTTTTTTAATTATAAGATCTTTGATGCCTGACATGTTTCTCTATTAACTCAACAAAATATTTGGGGTGTTTGCTACATGTCGGGCATTGTTCTGAGATAATCAAGACAAAATTCTAACTCTCAAGGAATTTACATCCTTATATAAGATAGTAAAGAAGGCTGGGGTTATAGCTCAGTGGCAGAGAACTTGCCTCACATGCATGAGACATTCAGGTTGATCCTCAGCACCACATTAAAAAAATAAGGAAAATAAAGGTATTGTGTTTGTTTACAACTTAAAAAATTCTTTAAAAGGACAGTAAATAGATAATTGTGTATTAGCTGGCAGTCATTGCAATGAAGAAAAACAAGGCATAGAGAATAGAGTGGTGACAGGGAGGTCCTATTTCATATGGATGGACAAGAAAAACTTCTCTGAAGAGATGACATTGGAATAGGGACCTGAAGGAAGTAAGGAAGCTAGTCGTGTGGGTATCTGGGTGAAGAATTTAAGCAAAGTAGAATTAGCATGTACAAAAAGCTGGAGGTGGGGCTGGGGATGTGGCCCAAGCGGTAGCGCGCTCGCCTGGCATGCGTGCGGCCCAGGTTCGATCCTCAGCACCACATACAAACAAAGATGTTGTGTCTGCCGAAAACTAAAAAAAAAAATAAATATTAAAAAATTCTCTCTCTAAAAAAAAAAAAAAGCTGGAGGCTGAAGCGTTCCTGACTTGTGTGGAGGAACAGCAGGGAGGTTAGTGTGATTGGACCACAATAGAGAAGAGTGGTAGGAGATAGAAGTGGGTGGGAGGCAGATCAGGTCAGGCTTTTCAGGATTTTGATTTTGACCTGAGTAACATGGAAAGCCATTGACAGTTTCAGAGAACAGTCAGAAGTTATCTGACTTTGATTTTAAAAGGAACACCCTGGATGCTGTACCTAGGCAGTTTCTCAATAATCATTTATTAATTTGAGAAGTGGCAAAAACTAATTAGCCTACAGACTAGTGCACAGATGGGCTTTAGGAGAATAACTGAACTTTCTGTTGGATGCAGGCTTGTACATGTGTGTGTGGGGGGTGCATTTTTAAAGGGAAGAGTTTCAACAGATTCTTTTTTATTTTTCTTAAAACCTTTATTGAGATATAATTCAAATGTCATATGATTCACCTTTGGAAAATGTATAGCTCACTGGCCTTTAGGGTATTCACAGAGTTGTCTCTCTGCCATCATAATGAATTTTGGAATATTTTCAATACTCTAGAAAGAAACCCCATGCTCCCCACCTTTTAGCCATTACTCCCAACCCTGTCTCAGCCCCCAGCAACCACTAATTTACTTTCTGTCTCTGTGAATTTAACTCTTCAGGACATTTAATATAAAATCAGTCATGAAATAGGTGATCTTTGATTATTTAATATAACGTTTGGAAATTTCATCCATGCTGTAGGGTATATTAGTATTTTACTTCTTATTGCTTAATAATACTATATTTATAGATATACTACATTTTATTCATTCACCATATATTTGTGTGTGTGTGTGTGGTGCTGGGGATTGAACCCAGGGCCTTGTGCATGTGAGGCAAGCACTGTACCAACTGAGCTATATCCCCAGCCCTCATTCACCATTTGATGGACATTTGAGTTGTTTATACTTTAGGGGTGTTATTAATAATGCTTCTATGAACATTCATATACAAGTTTTTATATGAACATATCCAAATAAAACTTATTTTTCTTGGATAGATACCTTGTAGGGAATTTACTGGATTATTTAGTAACTTTTTAACTTTTTGAGGACTGGCCAGACTTTTCCAAAGCTGCTGCCTGTGATATTTTACATCCTGACTAGTAGTATATGAGGATTTTTACTTTTTTCATATCCTTGTCAATACTTGTTATTATCTGTCATTTTTTTATTATAGTCATCTGGCTTGTGTGAAGGGGTATTTCATTATGATTTTGATTTACATTTCCTTGATGTCTAAAAATGATGAACATCTTTCTGTGAGCTTATTGACCACTTGTGTCACTTCTTTGGTGAACTATCTATTTAGATACTTTGCCTTTTATTTTGTATTTATTTTTTTTGTACTGGGGATTGAACCCAGGGGTGCTTCACCACTGGGTGATAGCTGCAAGTCTTTTAATACTTTTTATTTATTTATTTATTTTAATTGTAGTTGGACACAATGCCTTTATTTTATTTATTTATTTTTATATGGTGTTAAGGATTGAGGCCAGAGCCTCACACGTGCTAGGTGAGTGCTCTACTGCTGAGCCATAACCCCAGCCCCAAGACTTTTTATTTTTTATTTTGAAACAGAGCTGAGTTTCTTAGAGCTTCACTGAGTTAATGAGGCTGGCCTCAAACTTGCAATTCTCATACCTCAGCAATACTAAGTTGCTGGGATTTCAGGCATGTGACACCTCACACTCACCCCACTTATTTCTGTAATTCTGAACAGTAGTTATTGTGTTCCTTTCAGATGTAGTAAATTGCCTGTGTTAGGGCACCACAGTTTGCCTAAAGAATCTTGGCTTAAATACTAGAATTTTTCCAGCACCATCTGTGAAAATAAAAGGTATCACTTATAATTAATTCTCATTAGCATTTGGGGTATGAGTGATTTATCTTCCAGTTGTGGAATACATTTACCAAAACTAAAAAGAGGATCAGAAGTGTTCAGTGATGATTTATGTATGCTTGTGAATCTGAATCAGTGTTTTAGATTGGTCAGATTTGTAAGTTGAGGCAAGGTACAATGGTGTACACCTATAATTCTAGCCATCTGGGAGGCTGAGGCAGGAGGATCACAAGTTTGAGACCAGCATGGGCAACTCAGCGAAAACGTGTTTCAAAATAAAAAGGGCTGGGCATGTGGCTCAGTGGTAAAATTCTCCTGTGTTCAATCCCCAGTACCAAAAACAAACAAAAAAAATTAGAGAAAATGATGTACTTTGTTTATCACAGATGCCATTCATGGTGTTATGATGCCAATATTTGTTCCCTGGAATTTCTTTTATTCTCCTCCTTTCTTTTCCTCTTTTTCTTCCCCTTTCTTTCCCCTTCTTTTTCTCCCTCCTCCTTTCTTCTTCTACTGGGGATTGAATCCATTGACACTCTACCACTGAGCTATGTTCCTAGCCCTGTTTTTATTTTTATTTATTTTTTTTAGTTTTAATTTTAAGATAGGGTATTCCTAAATTGCTAAGACTGACTTTGAACTTCTGATCCTCCTGCCTCAACCTCCTGAGTGCTGAGTTTACAAGTGTGCACCACCACACCTGTCCCTTTTCTTCCTTATCTTACCAGATGCTCCATATCAAGAAGCAGAGTGTCCTGAGTGTGGCTGCAGAAGGAGCTAACGTGTGCCGCCATGGGAAACTGTGTTGGCTTCAGGTAAAAGATTTTTTAAAACTTTTTATTTTTAAATAATTGTACATTCAATATATTATTAATTGTCTTCTCTCTGTTATCCCTGCTATTATTATTCTGTAACTTGTTGGGAATGTACCTCATATTTTTAGTGCTCAATTTATTCTTTTCAAAAGAAGGAACTTCTAATAGATTCACTTTAATAGCTATCATTGCTATCTCACAGATTCTGCAGGAGATCTTCTTTCCCAACTTTGACCATCTTTCTGAAGTTAGGTTTGATACATGTCTCTGCCACACTAGGTGAGTTTCCTAGAGATGAGGGTACCATTATATCAAAAGAAGTTTGAAGTGAGCCTTAAATAACTAGAGGATGAGTAAGCTACCTTTGAGTCAAGCCAGAAGCATCAGTATGCAAGGTGGTCAAGAGAGCAAGCTGTATCCTCAACCAGCGGTTTGAGTCACTATGAGAATATTTTTTCCAAGAATATAGCCAACTGAGTTAGCAATCTGCCCTCTTAAATTCCTCCTTCTGCAATATTCAACTTCTCCAAGGAAAAGGAATAGAGGTGGCTGAGCCTAATTTTGCTTGGTATTAGATTGCCTCTCTCTTGTTCCCTGCACTTAATTGGTAAACCTTAGCTCTTAGAAAACCAAGTTAGCACAAAAGCAAATTACTTAAACAAAAAAACTTTTCTCTAACAAAACAGAATGAAGGACTTTCTGGTAATACATGCTTGGATAACTCTAGGTTATTTCTGAATTTGTCCCCTTTAATTTCCTAAGTACCAAAGGGAATGACTATCCAATTAGTTATAGATGTCCTCTTTGTGACTGGAAGCAAATTAATAGGCACATTTTCCCCAATCAAGCCCTTGGGCTTATGTGTTTAATTTTTTTTAAACAATCTCTGGCATTTTTAAAAAAATTATTCTTTTTGTATATATATGACATTAGAGTGTATTTTGACATATTATACATACATGCAGTATAACTTATTCTATTTTTTTTAAAGTTTATTTATTTTTTAGAGAGAGAGAGAGAGAGAATTTTTTTAAATATTTATTTTTCAGTTTTCAGCGGACACAACATCTTTGTTTGTATGTGGTGCTGAGGATCGAACCCGGGCCGCACGCATGCCAGGCGAGCACACTACTGCTTGAGCCACATCCCCAGCCCCACTTATACAAATTAGAATCTCATTCTTGTGTATTCATATATGAACATAGGAAAGTTATGTCTGAATCATTTTACTGTCTTTCCTATTCCCATCCTCCCTCCCTTCCCTTCTTTCTCCTTTGTCTACTCCACTGAACTTCTATTATTCACCCCATCCCCCCAAAAAAGTTAAAACAATTTTTTTTGCATGTTTTGCTTTTCACAGTCTGTTCTGAGATGTATCTACCTTCTAGCAATATCAGAAATCACCTAGATCTATGATAGCCACCTTCTAACAATATCAGAAATCACCTAGATCTATGATAGCCACCTTCTAACAATATCAGAAATCACCTAGATCTATGATAGCCACTGGGCATAATCTGTATTATTTTGTGCATGTTGTGCCCATTTCAGTATTATTGCCATCATGACGGTGTTTAGCAATTTGAGCCCACATGGCTTAGTACTCTGTTTCAGATTTCTTCAGAACTGGGAAAGTGTTGGTGAGGATGACCAATTTCACTTTGCCCTGCCTAATTATCTTCAGAATACCCCTGAACTCTAGCACATACTTTCCACTTAAGTTAATAGCCTCCAGTGATGTTTTTGTCATCTTCCAGCATTAAGGTGTGGGTTAGCTCCAACCAAGAGAAGCCACCAAGATGGCTGGGGAATGAGAAAGATGGTTCCCACCCATGTCCCACACGGGCAGTTGAAAATGGGGTTCCTCTTGGTGGAATGCGCTGGCTGTCAAATAAAAGCTAAGGAAAATAGTGTAGCAAAAAAAAAAAAAAAATTCACAGGACACAGAAAATTTTAAAAGCAGGGGCAGGATGGGCTAGCCAATCTTAGGGATCGAGCTTCTATACTGAAAAGAGCAAAATGGAGCCTACTCTTGCTTTATTTATATGAGGGATCATCAAAGATTTTCCATGGAATGTTCTTTGCCAAATAGGGTAGGAGGTTCCAACAGGTCCAGTTCCCAACAGGTTACACCCAACTTTGGAGCTACAGGAGGGGTCTTCCTATTTCATTGGAAACAGAGGTCATCTGCTTCGGGCAATCTAATGCACCCCTGGAAGCCAAAGATAGTTCTCAAGGAAAAAACTAAATCTTTGTGGCTCCATTACTTGAGAAGACCCTCAAGTAATTAATGGGTGGCTTCCTGCAATGATTAATTTTTAAAAATTCTTTTTGTAGTTGTAAATGGATAGAATGCCTTTGTTTTATTTGTTTATTTTTATGTGGTGCTGAGGATCGGACCCAGTGCCTCATGAGTGCTAGGCAAGTGCTCTGCCACTGAGCTATAGTCCCAGCCCAAAGATGATTATTTTTTTAAATTTTTTAAATTAAAAAAAAAATTTGTAAGATGATTATTTTTTTAAATCCAAGTATCACATCAACTGTGCATTAAAAGCCAAAAAAAAAAAAAAAATCAAATAATGGTAAAAGTTTAACAAGGAAAGAAAAATTCTTACACTAATACTCCTTCAGAGGCAGTTTTTTTTAAGACTTTCATTATACAGTTGTTAAAGCAAAGTAAATTTATGTAGCACATTGAAAGACAATTATATTTTCAAAAGCACAGTGAAAGATAATTCATTTGTAAAGGTTACTACTTTTAACATATTGAAATACTCAGAAAGATAGGTCAAAGCTGGGAAAGATTATTATTATTTTTAATAATGTGTGTATTGCTGTATCTTGATTCATAAGTTTTACACATTTTCTGTGAACATTTACTATAGTAAAAATGCTCCTTTTAGCACCTTCATAGCACCTCCTAACTTAGTTACATCACAATTTTTAGTTAAGACAGAATTCAAGATTTATGTTAGTAATACTATGTCTTGAACTGTTACTTCCTGCTGATCCAGATTGTTTTTCTTTTCTTGAACAAACTTTTTATTTTTCACAGAATTAATAATTACTCAGTCCCACAAGACAGCCCCTCACTTTAGATACCAGTCAGAAGCACAGGACACAACCTGTATCTGATTATAAATTGGGGGTTCCCACAACTAGCTTTTCAGGTTTAATTAATTTGCTGTAGTAACTCACAGAACCCAGGAAAACATTTTTACTCAACATTTACTCATATAAGATAAAGGTTATAAAGGATGCAGATAATCAGCCAGATGGAAGAGACCCATAGGGTAAAATGTTGAAAGAAGGGGTATGCCACCCTCCAGAAACTTCCTTATGCTTAGCTATCTAGAAACCCTCCAAACTCAGACCTTTTGTGTGTTTATTTATTGTTTACTTTTTTAATTTTTTTGGTACCTGGGGATTAAACTCAGGAATACTTGAGCACTGAGCCACATCCCCAGCCCTATTTTCTTCTCATTAGCATATAAAAGACACTCATCACTATGGAGACTCCAAGGGTTTCTGAAGCTGTAAGTCTGGAAATTAGAGGGGGATTAAATACATATTTCACATATCACAATTAGAATGGCATAGGTGAAACTGGTAAACATTAAAGTTAAGACTGTAGCTGGGTGTGGTGGCACATACCTGCAATCCCAGCTGCTTAGGAGGTGAGAAAGGACAATGGCGGGGGCTGGAGATGTGGCTCAAGCGGTAGCGCGCTAGCCTGACATGCATGTGGTCCAGGTTCGATCCTCAGCACCACATACAAAGATGTTGTATCCGCCAAAAACCTAAAAAAAAAAAAAAAAAGATTCTCTCCCTTGTTTTTTTTTTTTTTCCCCTTTCCCCTCACAAACTCTTATATGCAATTTTGTGTAACAATGAGGGTCTCCTTCCATTTCCATAGTTTCCCTTCTCTCTCCCTTTCTGTCCCCCCACTCGTCTCTGTTTAATGTTAATCTTTTCCTCATGCTCTTCTTCCCTGTTCTGATCTTAGTTGTTAAAAAAAAAAGAAAGAAAAGAAAGGACAATGGCGAGTTCAAAGCCAGCCTCTTAGCAAGACCTTGCCTCAAAATAAAAAATAAAGAGGACTGGGGTTTTGTTCAGTAGTTAAATGCTCCTAGGTTAAATCCCTGGTACCAAAGGGAGTAAAAAAGTTGAGAGGATAAATAGTGGAAGTCTTACTCACCAGCTTATCCTTTTCTTTTCTTTGAAAAATTACAGTGATCGTGTCTGTTGTATTGGAGATCCAACCCAGGGCTTCACGGATGCCTGGCAAGCACTTTACCATTGAGCTGTACCCCAAGCCCCACTGTATCTTTTTTAACTATGTAGGATCAATTTAAACTTGTTTTCCCTAAGAATCATTGAGTATCTATTATTTATTTAACACTGATGGTGTTAAATATTTTATCCATGTCTTTTTTTTTTTTTCTTTTTTCATGTGTGCTGTACTGGGGATTGAACCTAGGGGTGCTCTACCACTGAGCTATATTTCTAGCTCTAGTCCTTTTATTTTATTTTATTTTGCTACCAGGAATCCCAGGAGTGCTTTCCCACTAAGCCACATCCCCAACCCTTTTTATATTTATTTTATTTTGAGACAATGTCTCTATAAGTTACTTAGGGCCTTGCTAAGTTGCTGAGGCTGGCTTTGAACTTGTGCTCCTCCTATCTCACCCTCCTGAGTCACTAGGATTACAGGTGTGTGTACCACCACACCTGGCCCATCTCTTGTATTCTTTTTTTTTAATATTATTTTTTTAGTTTTAGGTGGACACAATATCTTTATTTTATTTTTGTGAGGTGCTGAAGATCAAACCCAATGCCTCATGCATGCTAAGTGAGTGCTCTACCACTGAGCCATAAACCCAGCCCCCACGTCTTATATTCTTTTTAAAAATTTTTTTTTCTTAGTTGTAGTTGGACACAATACCTTTATTTTATTTTTATTCATTTTTATGTGGTACTGAGGATCAAACCCAGTGCTTTGCACATGCTAGGTGAGTACCCTACTGCTGAGCTACAACTCCAGTCCTATGTCTTATATTCTTGGTCTTCAGATCCACTTCCCCACTTGCTCCTTATCCTAATGATGTGGTTTATTATAGGTGGCCACAAATAGCCGAGTTTACTTATTTGACATTTTCCTTCTGGGAAGTCGAGCTTTCAACAATGGACTTCAGATGATATTAGAAGACAAGAGAATTCTAAAGGTGAGTATTTAAGCTGATTTCTTTGCTAGAAGATTAGCAACCAGGTTCTAATAACTGTCTCCCTCTTCTGATTCCTTAGGTCATCCATGATTGTCGCTGGCTTTCCGATTGCCTCTCTCATCAGTATGGAATTATGCTAAATAATGTCTTTGACACACAGGTACTTAAAGGAAAACACTGGATTCAAACCAGTGCATGACATCTGGTAGAAAATAGTCCTTGTTCTGATAAATGATCAAAAGTCTCTCTCTCTCTCTCTCTTAATGCACCATTTCTGCCCACTTCTTATATAAGATGTTTATACAATATGTGAGAACATTTGGTGAACTAAAAAAAAAAAAAAAAAAAAAAAAACTGCAGAAAAGTTAAAATTACTTGGTAATTTGTTTTCCTCATTTTGCTCCAGAATTTGTCAAATAAGAAGCAAAATCCATACTCCATGCCATTCAGAAACCTTGAGCGGTTTATGTGTCATTTAAAGTCTGACATGGGAAACTTTGTGAAATGAGCAATCACATATTGACTTTTACCATCTCTGTACCTCAGGGGTATAGATTGTTCTGTCTATGCCCCCAAACCCAATTCTGGCCCAAAATAGCTGAAGAGGTATGATTTGACTCATATCTATGAAGCCTTAGAGAAATGAGAAAACTGCTGGGCACAGTGGTGCATGCTTGTAATCCCAGTGCTTTGGGAGGCAGAGGCAGGGGAATTAGAAGTTGGAAGCCAGCCTCAGTAATTTAATGAGATCCTGTCTTTAAAATAAAAAAGGTTGAGGATGTAGCTTAGTGGTAAGGTGTCCCTGAGTTCAATCCCAGGACCTAAAAACAAAAATGAAAAGAGGCGGGGACTGGGGTTTTGGCCCAGTAGTAGAGAGCTCGCCTAGTATGCATGAGGCACAGAGTTTCATCCTCAGTACCACACAGATATAAAATAAAGATATTGTGTCAACCTAAAAAAAAACTGAAAAGAAACCCAGGCATGGTGGCACATGCCTGTAATCCTAGCAACTCAGGAGGCTGAAACAGGAGGATTTCAAGTTCAAAACCAGCCTTGCCAACTTAGTGAGGTTCTAAGCAACTTAGTCTGTACCTGTCTCAAAATAACAAATAGAAAAGACTTAGGCTGGGAATGTAGCTCAGTGCCCCTGGGTTCAATCCCTGCTGCCAAAAAAAAAAAAAAAAAAAAAGAGAGAGAGACAAAAATGAGAAATCTCTTGGGGCTGGAATTGTAGCTCAGCAGTAGAGTGCTTGCCTCACATGTGTGAGTCACTGGGTTCGATTTTCAGCACTGCATATAAATAAGTAAATAAAAGGTCCACCAACAACTAAAAAAATATGTATTAAAAGATGAGAAATCTCTAGATTATGTTAGCTCATAGAGCTGACTTAATTTTTGGCTTTTCTGTGAGAGCAGTAAAACCACCAGTTTTAAAATGTTTTTTTGAGGATTTTGTTTTGTTTTGTTTTGTTTTTAGGTACTTGGGATTGAACCCAGGGGTGCTTTATCTCTGAGCCACATCCCCAGTCCTTCATTATGCATTCTTTATTTTCTTCTAGTTTTTAGGTTTATGCCAACGAAAGGGATACATATACTCAGAGCTGTGAAGAGGAATTAAACTAATGAATTGGCCAATTATTTTTGAGCAGCAATTCCTAAAAGTTCAATTTCATTACTATGTATGATTCAATTTTGCTCTTTATACATGTTTATAATAAATTTTATGTCATTTATCTTATTTTCATATTCCTTTGGGGCTTCTCTCAAGAGCTTTGACTAATAGCATAGAGATGTCTTCTATGCTATGCTTACTCCAAAATGTAAGAGAATTGTTCATTGTTCCCTTGAGACCATCAGGTTTCTTTTTGAAGGGGATGAGGAGATGGGGTACTAGGGATTTAACCCAGGGGAAATTTACCACTGAGCTAAGTAACCAGCCATTTTTTTGAGACAGTCTCACTAAATCGCTTAGGTCCTCACTAAATTGCTGAGCTTGCAATACTTCCTTGAACTTGCAATACTCCTCCTCAGCCTCCCGAGCCCACAACAGTGCACCTGCTCCATTAGGCTTCTTGATTAGAACTCATATGTATTTCTAGTGTAGCCTCCAGCATATCTTTCCAAAATTTTCTTTTTAGATTTCCATAGTGCAAAAACAGGAATTTAGAATTTTACCAATTTGTTTTCCATTAACGCAGTATATTTGTTTCCTATTCTTGATGTAACAAATCACCACAAATTTGGTGATCTAAAACAACACAAATATATTATCAAACAATTCTGGAGATCAGAAGTCTCAAATCACTTTTCCTAGGTTGAAGTCAGTGTGTCAGCAGGGTTTCTTATGGAGGCTCTCAAGGGGAGAGACTTTCCTTTACTTTTTAGTATCTAGTGACTACTTGTATTCCTTGCCTTATGGTCCCTTTTTCCATCTTTAAAATGCATCCTTCTTTTCTCTGTTACCACCACTGGGTCACCTTCTCCTCTGACCATAATAAAATCTCCCTGTCTCCTTTTTAAAGTATCACTTGTGGGCTGGGGTGGTTGCTCAGTGCTAGAGTGCTTGCCTAGTGTGTGTGAGGCCCTGGGTTGGATCCTCAGTACCACATAAAAATAAATAAATAAAATAAAGGTATTACATCCATCTACAACTAAAAAAATAAAAATAAATAAATATAAATAAAATAATACTAAATACAGCTAAAAAATTAAAAAAAGAAAGAAGGAAACACTTGTGGGTACATTTAGAGTCCACCCAGGTGATACAGGATAATCCCCTCATCTCTAGGTCCTTAACTTGTCACAGTGGTGAAGTCCCTTTTGCCATATCAAATAATATTCAAAGGTTCCAGTGATTAGAATGCCATATTATGGGGATCATTATTCAGCCTATCATAAATAGTTATTGCAATTATTTTTTTAAAAAATTAATATTTTTTTAGTTGTAGATGGACACAATACCTTTATTTTATTTATTTATTTTTATGTGGTACTGAGGATCCAACCCAGTGCTTCAAACATGCACTGAGTCACAACCTCAGCCCCTAGGTATTGAAATTCTTAATTTGATTAGCTTTTCATACCAAAACTTTTATTAATAAAGTTGCTAATAGATAATAGAAAAAAATTCTCAAGTTTATTTTCCTTTGCCCAGTCCTTTCCTTTCTTTTCCTTTTGGTTCCCACAGGCATCAAAGTATAGTAAATGACATTATACTAGGCAAATAAAAGAAAGTGGATAAGAACACTTTACCCAGGTGTGGTGGCATATTCCTATAATCCCAGCTAGTAGAGAGACTAAGACAGGAAGATGGCAAGTTTGAGGCTGGCCTGGGCAACTTAGTGAGACCCTGTCTCACAATTAAAAAAAAAAAAATGGTGGAGGGAGGGAAGTTTATTGGATTAGACAAAGGGAAATGAGGGAAGGAAGGGGGTTTGGAAATAGGAAAGACAGTAGAATGAATCAGGCATAACTTTTCCTATGTTCTTATGTGAATATACGACTAGTATAACTCAATACTCCATGTATTTTTTATTAATTTTTTTTTTAGTTGTAGATGAACTTAATACCTTTATTTTCTATTTTTACGTGGTTCCGGGGATCAAACCCAGTGTCTCACACATGCTAGGCAAGCGCCGTACTACTGAGCCACAACCCCAGCCCTCCATGTATGTTTTTTTTTTTTGAGTGATGTCATACTCTTTTTAAAAAATATTTATTTATTTATTTTTAGTTGTAGTTGGACACAACACCTTTATTTCACTTGTTTATTTTTGTATGTGGTGCTGAGAATTGAACCCAGGGTCTCGCACGTGCAAGGCGAGCGCTCTACAGCTGAGCCTCAACCCCAACCCCTCCATGTATATTTAATATGCCAAAATATACTCTACTGTCATGCATATCTAAAAAGAAAATAATAAAAAATTTTTAAAAACCTTTAAGGGCTTGAACTAGGTGTAGTCAGGCATACTATAATCCCAGGGGCACAGGAGGCTGAGGCAGGAGATTCACAAGTCCAAACCCAGCCTCAGCAATTTAGCAAGGCCCTGAGAGAAAGAGAGGGAGAGAGAGAAAAACAAAAACAGAAAAAAAAAGTCAGTAGTTTCTACTTTTAAAAATTATTTCAAAATAATAAACAACTTTAAATTTCCTGGTGGTGTGGCCTAACATGGATCCTTGGGGAAAATGGTATTTAAAGTATTTCTCTTAAAATAGTTTCTTGTTGTTGTTGGTTTTGGTACTGGGGATTGAACTCAGGGATACTTAAACACTGAGCCACATCTCCAATCTTTTTTTATATTTTATTAGGACAGGGTCTTGCTAAGTTGCTGAGACTGGCTTTGAACTCCCAATCCTCCTGCCTCAACCTCCTGAGCTGTTGGGATTACAGGTGTACACCACCACACCCAGTTTAAAATAGTTTTTAAGATAGTTAAAACTAAAAACTTAAAATCGATTTTTTTTTTTTTTTGGTACCAGGAATTGAACCCAGGGCTATTCAAGGTATATTCAACTACTGAGCCATATCTCCAGCTCTTTTTATTTTTATTTATTTTATTTAAGTTTTTTTAAATTGTCAATGGACCTCCCTATTTTATTTATTTATATGTGGTGCTGAGAATTGAACCCAGTGCCTCACACATGCTAGGCAAGCGTTCTACCACTGAGCCACAACCCCAGCCCTTATTTTTTACTTTGAGACAGAGTCTCACTAAATTGCTTAGGGCCTCACTAAATTGCTGAACCTTGCTTTGAACTTGGGATCCTCCTGCCTCAGCCTACTGAGCCTCTGGGATTATAGGCATGACTCACCACTACTGGCTAAAATAGTTTTTAATATAATTTTGAGATAGTTTTCTGTATACACTTAACTGGTTAATTTGTCTTTTTTAACACTGCAGGTAGCAGATGTCCTTCAGTTTTCCATGGAAACAGGTGGCTTTCTTCCAAATTGCATCAGTACTCTGCAGGAAAATTTAACTAGACACCTTAAAGTAGCCCCTAAATATCTCTTCTTTCTAGAAGAAAGACAAAAACTGATTCGGGTAAGTATTAAGGGATATCCCATTTGATGTTATTTTTTCAAGTGTTTTCTTGAGCACCATTAATAGTCTATTATATTGCCAGGTACAATGGTACATGCCTGTAATCCAAGGAGCTTTGGAGGCTGAGGCAGGAGAATCACAAGTTCAAAAACAGCCTCAGCAACTTAATGAGGTCCTAAGCAACTTCATGAGAATCTGTCTGAAAATATAAATAAATAAATAAATAAATAAATGGTCTGGATGTTTCTAAATTGTTAGTGCCCCTGGCTGTTGGCTGCCATGTAAGCATATGAGCATTGCCAGAATCTTAGTTGTGCCAAGTAGAAAAAGGTTTCAGTTGGAGAAAAGATTTGTTGATTATCATTTTAAAAGTACTCTGAAATAAAACCAGGCTTTCTTGAGCCTACCTATAATCCCAGAAATTTGGGAGGCTGAGGCATGAAAGATTAAAGTTCAAAGCAAGCCTCATCAATTTAGCGAGGCCCCAAGCAACTTAGTGAGACCCACTCTCAAAATAAAAAGGGCTGGGGATGGGCAAAGAGGAGAGAGGGGTGGGGAGAGGGGTATGGGGGCAGGAAAGATGGTGGAATGAGATGGACATAATAAATTACACATATATAAAATGTACAATTTGGTTAGTTTCAACATTGGTATATCCCTGTGAAATTATCACCAAAATAAGGGGGGAAAAATCTGTATAGCTCCCTCTCCATGACATACTGTAGAAATAGAATCAATCAGTATGTACATATGGATTATTTCATTTAACAGAATTATTTTGAGAGTTATTATGCTATAGCATGATAATATACTTCTTTTTGTTGCCTAGTTGTATTCTGTGGTGTGCATATATCACAGTTTACTCATGTGTTGCTATGAATGGTATGAATATTTGTGGATAGGCTTTTGTGTTGATGTATACTTTTCACTTCTATCTGGCAAGTATCTAGGAATAGAATTGATAGATGATATTGTAGATGTTATGTTTCACTTCCAAATTGTTTTCCAATGGGCCTCTATTTATTCACATTCCCATCCAGAAGTGTATGAAATTTCTAGTTCCTGTGCATCCTTGCCAACACTTGGTCACTCTTAATTTTAGTCATTCTTATGGGTATTGACAATATATGGTTTTAATTCAACACTCATAGTGTTGAGCGTCTTCTGTATTTATTTACCATCTGTATGTCATCTTTTTTTTTCTTTTTATGGTACTGGGATTCAACTCATGGGCACTCTGCACACCCGCTTTTTATTTTGAAATATGTTCTTGTTAAATTTCCAAAGCTGACCTGAACTTGTAATCCTCCTGCCCAGCCTCCTTCATCACTGGGATTGCAGGTGTGAACCACTATGCCTGACTTATTTATCATCTTTAATTTTAAAAAGTAAGGTAAGACCTGGCCAGTCGCTGTGGCACATGCCTATAATCCCAGCAGTTCTGGAGGCTGAGACAGAAGGATGGTGAATTCAAAGCTAGCCTCAGCAATGGTGAGAAGCTAAGTAACTCGGTAAGACCCTGTCTCTAATAAAATACAAAAATTGGGCTGGGGATGTGGCTCAGTGGTTGAGTCCCCCTGAGTTCAATCCCTGGTCCCCCCCACACAAAAAAAGTAAATTAAGCCCTGCTTGGTGACTCACCCCTGTAATCCCCACTACATGGGGGGGGGCTGAGGTAGGTGGATATCAAATTAGAGGCTGGACTGGCAATTTAGTGAAGACCTTTCTCAAAATTTAAAAAGGACCTTGGATCAGTTTAGTGATAGAGTGCCTCTGAGTTCAATACTCAGTACCAGAAAAACAAAAATTAAGTTAGGTTGTTTGCTTTCTTAAAAAAAAAAAAAAAAAAGTGGGGGGTGGGGATATGACTCAGTGGTTAAGTGCCTCTGGGTTCAATCCCTGGTACCCCCACCTTGCTCTTACCCCCCCAAAAAAGTATTCTGAAATATAATTCCATGTTGGGATAATTGGGAAACTTTTGTAGGAATTTGGATTAAGCTGGGTGCTGTAATCCCAATGACTCCAGAGACTGAGATGGTAAGATTTCAAGTTCAAAGCCAGCCTAGGCAATTTAAAATGTTGTTCAGCGTTTAAACACCCATTTCAATACCCAGTACCCCCCCCCAAAAAAAAAGAAAGTGAATTAAGCTGATGGAAACAAAATTATACAAGTTATTTCTCCCAAAATAATATAAATTTTCTTTATATTATGACCACCAGTATCCCTGAATATAAACTTAGATCATGACCATACTGTCTACAAATTTGGACATATACTCCAGTCTGCTGCCTCCAACTTTGAGAACTCCTGATTGACCAATCTCCCTGTGTCTCTCATGCACCCTGTATATGTATGGGTATGGATGCATGCATGCACTCAGAAAGCTACTGATGGTGTGAAAGTAGGAGGTAAAAATAGAAGGGAATAACAGTATTTTAGATTAAGCAACCTTTATACAATTATTTTCTGTAAAGTTTTACTTACTCTTCATTAAAAAAAAAAATTGTTTGGGTGTTTCTAGGAGAATCCAGAAGTGTGGTTCACAAGACCTCTTCCACCCTCTTTGCTGAAAATTTTGGCCCTGGAGGCAACCTACCTGCTACCCCTTCGCTTGGTACTTATGGATGAGATGATGTCTGACCTAACTACCCTGGTGGATGGGTACCTAAACACCTATAGAGAAGGGTCTGCAGACCGGCTTGCAGGCATGGAGGTATGTGCACCTCCTTTTCTGCAGTTTTTGCCTCTTCCTCACGAGGGCACAATGATACCGATTCATCATAACCATAGTAACTTTCACGGACAGACTTAGTGATAAATATTCTTAAAGAGAATATGGTTTGTGCTTGATCCATCCCTTTCAGCACCTTTTCCCCAAATCATTATGTTTCCAATGAATGTTTCTGTCAATCAAGTAAACATAAGATTTTATGAATTATTTTTATGCAGCCAGAGTAACATAAGAGTGTATAAGTGAGAAGTTGGTGATAGATAGATAGATAGATAGAAAATAAATAAATATAAATATGTACACACACATATATACATAAAATAAGTCAACCATCATAAGTCAAAGACCGTCTGTATATGAGACAGAGTTTACAGCTGACAAAGCCCAAAATATTTATTTAATTCAATATTTATTCAACTTACTACACATTGTATACATATATTAAAATACACACTGTACTTGATAAGTATGTACAATTAATATGGCAATTAAAAATAAAGATGTAGGGGCTAGGGTTGTGGCTCAGCTGTAGAGCACTTGCCTAGCTCGTGTGAGGCGCAGGGTTCGATCCTCAGCACCACATAACAATAAATAAAATAAAGATATTGTGTCCAACTACAACTAAAAATATTAAATAAATAAATAAATAAATAAAATAAAGATGTATACAAACTCCACTTAAATGTATGATATTTTGCTTTTTTTTTTTCATGTCAGACCAGAAATGTGCCAATATCATAGAAAGGCTTGAGGAAGGAACATCTCACACAATATCATGAAAACCTAATTATCATGTTTATGAACTACAAAAGACCTATATATTTTTATTTTAATGTGTTATTGGATTCTAGTTCCAAACATGGTTCAATGTTAGGATATTTCTCCATTTTCATAGAGCCAAGAAAGATTTATGATTATCTCATAAATGCTGAAAAAAATTTGTATAATCCTTTACATGCATTACTGATTAAAGTCAGAATGGATGGGTACTTTTCTAATACACTGGGCCAGGCATGGTGGTGCATGCCTGTAATCCCAGCAACTTGGAGACTGAGGCAAGAGAATCACAAATTCAAAGCCAGCCTCAGCAGCTTAGTGAGACCCTAAGCAATTTAGCAAGACCCTGTCTCAAAATAAAAAATGTGGGCATGTAGCTCCATGGTGGAAAAAAATCCTAGAACCAAAAAACAACAACAACAAACAAACAAAAACTGCCACAAGCAAAAAGAGAATTTAACAAAATAATAATAATATAAAAGTTAATAGGTTTTCTAAATCTATAAAAACAGCTAGAAAATATAATGGGAGAAAACACCCTATGTATAGTTGTATGAAAAAATACAGGTTGCCAGGTGTGGTGGCGCATACTTGTAATCCCAGCAGCTCGGGAGACTGAGGCAGGAGGATTGCAAGTTTAAGACCAGCCTCAGTGACTTAGCAAGGCCCTAAGCAACTTGGTGAGACCCTATCTCAAAATTAAAAATAAAAAGGGCTGGGGATGTGGCTCAGTGGTTAAGTGCCCCTGGGTTCAATCCCTGGTACCAAAAAAAAAAAAAGACATAAATGAAGCAAACATTTTAATATTACTGCACAGTGTAAAAGAACACTTAAATGAATGGGAACACTAAAAAATTTTAGCTATTGATCATTCCTAAATTAATCTTTGAATTTAATTCTATTCTCATAAAAATAGTAACACCTGGATTATTATGACAGATTGTCATTACAGACTTTGTAAAAACCAATAAATATGCAAGAATAGCCAGGAAACCTTGGGAAAAGGAGTATGCTGAAAGAAGACTGGCTTTGTAAAATATTAAAACAAAGCTACACTAAAACATTTTTTAATTAACTTTTTTTAATATTTATTTTTTAGGTATGGATGGACACAACACAATGACTTTATTTTTATGTGGTGCATGAGGATCGAACCCAGGTCCCGCCTGTGCCAGGCAAGCGTTCTATCGCCAAGCCACAATCCCAGCCCTAAAACATTTTTTGACTGATACATGATTAAGCAGGTGAATGGAATGAAGTAGAGAGCCAAGAAATAAACTCAGTATCAATTTGCCAAGATGATTGTGATAAATTAGCATTTCCAATCAATGGGAGAGATTATTCAGTAAAGGGTCTTAGGCAATTAATTTACAAATATAGAGGAGGAGAACCAGAGTTGGATTGTTCTCTTTCATTACAACAAAATAAACTCCTTGGATCAAGTAGTTGTATAAAAAAGTGAAATTAGATGGGACTAGGGTTGTAGCTCAGTGGTAGAGCACTTGCCTAGCACACGTGCAGCACTGGGTTCTATCCTCAGCACTACATAAAAATAAATAAATAAAATAAAGGTATTGTGTCCATCTACTACTAAAAAAAATTTTAGTGAAATTAGAAAATTATTAGAAAAAATAATTTAAAAATTTTAATACAGGAATTTTTTAACGTAACACAAAAATACTCAAAGTTCATACATAAAAAATTCATAAATTTGACTTTGCAAACTTGTTGTGATAGTTGGGCCTAGTGACATGTGCCTGTAATAGCAGCTATTTGAGATGCTGAAGCAGAAACATTGTCTGAGAACAGGACTTTGAGGCCAGCCTGGGCAATGTAACTAAATCCTGCCTCAAAATGAAAAATAAAAAGGCCTGGGGACATAGCTCAGTGGTGGGTCACTCTGTGTGTGTGTGTGTGTGTGTGTGTGTGTGTGTGTGTGTGTGTTGGGGGAGGGGGACACAACAGGTTTGGTTAAGTAAGTTACAATATGTCCATATAGCCCTTAGAAATGCTAATATGGAACAATCTCCTAAACATTTTTTTTTAGTAAAAAAACAAACAAACAAAAACAAGATGCTGAAGAATATATAATGTGTGGTATCATTTGTGTAGAATGATTTTAGTTACCAACATTAAAAGTTAGGGGAAAAACCAAAGATGCCATCAAGACTGGGAGTGTAACTCAGTAGTAATGCACTTGCCTACCATGGGCAAGGCTCTGGGTTGGATATCTAGTATTGCAAAAATAATAAAAAAGTAATGCATTGGAAATATAAACATGTAATAAGGTGTATATGTATACACTTATAATCATATATGCAGACTTCCTCTGGTAGGTTACACAAGAAACAGCTTTTTAGAAGATGCATCTGCTAAGGCAACTGGGGCCAGGTTGGGAGACTCACTTTCCCTGTATAATCTTTACACATACATGTGTACACACACATGTGGACTCATTACCTTTTCAAAATATTTTTGCTCAAAAATAGTACAATTATAGTTGAAGACACTAGAGGGTGATATATGAACACATTTGAATAGACTCTAGAGCACCTATTCTTGTCAGGCATAATAGAAGTGATTTTTAAGTACCATATTCAAAGGTTAGCTATCATAAACCTATGTTCATTTTCTTTTCTTAGCCTACATGTATGGAGCTTCCAGAGGAGCTACTTCAACTCAAGGACTTCCAGAAGGAGCGCAGAGAGAGAGCTGCAAAAGAATATAAGGTGAATGCAAAGGGACTCCTAATAAGGACTGAGCTACGCCCAAAGAAATCAGTGGCAGAGACAACAGGAAAAGAGGAAAAAGTCAGAGGCTTCTTATTTTGTAAAAATTCTAGAATAGATAAAGCTCCAAGTTTTACATCTCCGGAATTTCATGAGGATGTGAATTTTTTGAAAGAAGGAGCTAAACAAACAACAGTGAAGTCTCATCTACCTCCCATAAAGGAAGGAGAAGCCAGTGACAATTCCAGTAACAAACTCATTTGTCCTGAGTTAAAAGGGTTAAAGGAGCAAAGAATAACTCAGAAAGAACACTTTATAATACCCAAGCATGAGTTCCAGGCAAGTTTTTCTTTGAAAGAAGAGATAGAACAGTTATTGATGGTGGAAAATAAGGAAGATTTCACATGCACAAAGCAAGAAGTTTCAGTGTCTTCTTCTCTTCCTCAGGAAACCAGAGTGTCACCAGCTGATACCTTTCATCCTTTCAAAAAAGCTGTGATTTCCACACTCCCTCCCTGTCCAGCTTTGGAGAAAACAGATTCATGGATAAATCCTTCTTTAAATCTGCCTTAGGATTTATAGTTTGTCCCTGAGGCCATAAAGATGGCTCATTTCTCTGCCATACAGGGCCTTTCGAAATGTTTAAGTTTCTCATGTTGTATGTTTTGTATGCCTCCATTATAGGCTTCAGGGAAAATTATATCCTCTTGCTTACTGCTGAGTTCCTGGTATTTGGGTTAGAATGAGAATGAATAACTAATGAAAGAAATACAATTTCTGATTATGTCACTATGCAGAAATGTTGCCAGTGGACAGAGTAAATTATTTCTCATAATTTGGATTAAGAGGATTTGAAGAAGGGAAAAATCTTGGCCTTAGTATCAGGAAGGATCTTTCATTTAAAATTTTTGCTTTGTGTTTTGGCTTTCAGATTTGTTTGAAGGGGGATCTGCAAAATTCATATTCATAGGCTGAAAAATATTGGTAGTACTTTTTTTAGTAAAAAAAACAAATGAACAAAAAACTAGAGGGTGATATATGAACACATTTGAATAGACTCTAGAGTACCTATTCTTGTCAGGTATAATAGAAGTGATTTTTAAGTACCGTATTCAAAGGTTTAGCTATCATAAACCTATGCTCATTTTCTTTTCTTAGCCTACATGTATGGAGCTGCCAGAGGAGCTACAAAAAAATTGCCAGTACTTTTCTCCTCTTAAAATATAACTTTATGCCTAAATTCTGAATGTTTTATTGGCCTTATGTTTTAGACAAACAATAATTGATGTTATTATAGGAATCAGTATCTCAATTTTAATTTTTTCTTATTTCATTTACTTTCAGCAGTTTTTATTTATTTCCTAACAAAGCAGGAGCTTTACATTTGTTTTTAGTATGTCTATTATGTGAACTTGAAGTTTGACTGAACTCTATTTGCCTGGAGTTGGTACACTTTCTCAGGGTAAAAGGGAGGCAGCTTGTATCGAGCCTTTTTTATTTTGAGTACTTGCAAATTACTCACATTCTTTGGCATAAAATAACCAATAAACCTGTTTTGGCATTAGGTTAACTCTCTCTTTCCTTAATGGGGTTAGGTAGGAAGACGTTGGAATATATCTGGATTTCCAGGTCTATAGTACAGTTTAGAAATCTATAATTTGACTGTTACAGGACTATATTACTTATTGCACTTAGGGGAAATTTAGGGACAGTCTAAGGTTAGGAACATCATTGTCTGTACCAGCTGATTCTGAGTGCTAAAGAAAGAATTGCTGTGCCCTTCCTCACTGCAGAACCCAGACTTAGTCTGAGTTTAAGATTAAGGCCTCAGCCCCAAATTGCGTTGTCTCACCTTGTCCCTAGTTTAGAAAGTCACTTGGAGCTAATGTGCTTGCTGAATCATTTTAGGTGAATGCATTTTCAGGTTGAGCCCAGAATGTGGTTACTCTAGGGTTACTCTAGAAGGGGTGTAAATTCCTGTAAAATTCTTAGAATTGTTTAGCTTCTTGTGAAATCATTAAGTTACTACTCATAGCACACACACATACAGACACATACACAGACACACTAAGAAGTATAAAATGCAATAGTTTTCATATTTAAAAAAGGATTTTTCTTTCATTGCATAAGTTTTGTTGTGCTTGAATAAGAACAGCTGAGCATGGTGGGGCAGACCTGTAATCCCAGCTATTTGGGACACTGAGTCAGGAGGATCCTAGTTAAGGGCAGCTTCAGCAATTTAGCAAGACTCTTTCTTTCTTTCTTTCTTTCTCTGTTTCTCTCTCTCTCTCTCTCTCTCGTACTGGGGATTGAACTCAGGAGCACTCAACCACTGAGCCACATCCCCAGCCCTATTTTGTATTTTATTTAGAGATAGGGTCTCACTGAGTTGCTAAGTACCTTGCCATTGCTGAGGCTGGCTTTGAACTGGAGATCCTCCTGTCTCAGACTCCTGAGCTGCTGGGATAGCAAGAGCCTTTCTCAAAACAAAAAATAAAAATGGCTGGGGATGTAACTCAGTGGTAAAGCCTCTGGTTCAATCCCCATGATCAAACAACAACAACAAACAAAAGGCTCAATATGATAGCCTTTAGCCACATGTAGCTATTTAATTTTAAAATTAAGAGCCAGGTGTGGTGGTGCATGCCTGTAATACCAGTAACTCAGGAGGCGGAGGTAGGAGGATGGCAAGTTCAAAGCCAGCTAAAGCAACTTAGCAAGACCCTCTCTCAAAACAAAATATAAAAAGGGCTGGAGACATTTAAGGTGTCCCTGGTTCAATCCCCAGTACATAAATAAATAAATAAAACTAGGATTCCATTCCTCAGTTACACTTGTCACAATTCTAGTACTCAGTGGTCCAATATAGCAAGTGGTTACCATAGAGAACAGCACAGATTTAAAACATTATTGTCATTTCACAAAATTCTTTTTATTTTATTTTAATTTAATTTAATTTTATTGGTGCTGGGGATTGAACCCAGAGCCTTGTGCATGCTAGGCAGGCACTCTTCCAACTGAGCTATATCCCTAGCCTTTTCACAAAATTCTTTTGGACAGTATGGTAGAGATATACTTTGACTCGCCAAACTAAATGAGCTTTTGGGGTGTTTTCTCAGTGTAACACTCAAAGCTGCATTTTTCTCCACATCCTCATTTTAGCTGGGAGTTAGGACCAGCCATAAAGTTCTGTTCTTTGCTAGATAGGGTATACAAAGTACCTGGGTGTTCTATGCCCTAAGATTTTTTGGAAAAATCTTGATGCTTGTGTTTCAACCCATTGTTGAGTTCTTCCCCTTGTACTTTTAGAAACTTGCTCAAATCCACCACTAATTTTCTGCATCTACCCTACTTAGCAGGGTTTTCTATATGTGACCTTCAATTACAGACTAGTAATCTGACTCTTAAAATTTTAGAATTAGGAAATGAGGTTAAATGACCTCCCTGAACAAAAATGCAGAACTGAGAATAGAACCCATGTTTCTTGGCTTCTTGGCCCAGTCATCATTATTTTCAACTGTAGTAGAAAAGCCACTGTAGAAGCTTTGCCTTTTATCTTTCTAAGGGCTTGATAAATCCTAACATGACAAGGTAGAATTTAAATGTCCTATATGCCTTTCATTATTTTGACACAAAACAAGCCCCAGCAGCCTGTTGAAATGAAGCCTGAGGTATATCTCTACCACAGGGAGCCTGGGGGAAATTAACTTCATCTATTGCAACTAGGTACAGTTATCAAAAAGGTTTTATTACAAAAGAAATACAAGTAAATAACTTACAGAAAATCTAAAAAATAAAGAGGAAAAAAATTCTCAACTACCATTCCACTTTTTTCAACCTTTCTTGGTATTCTGACATTTTTCTCTGTATTCTCTCACTCTTTCATCATACAAATGTACACTTGAAACAGAATTACAACCATACTATAAATACTCTTCCTGTGCTTTTTTTTTGTATATTTTCCATTTTAAATCCTAAGAGCCAACATATTCAGTCAATGTTTCATTTTTAAGTTAGCATACTATTTAGTAGAATTTGGAAAATACAGAGGAATAGGAAAAAATGTCTCCTCTAATCCCAATGGAAAAAGCAAGTAACACTTTTGTTCATTCCACCTCTACAGGTGGAATTTCTTTCTGCTATATAGTTGTAATCATATGTGTGTATATTTCCTGATTTATGAATGCTTTCCTATGCTGTTTCACAAACTTTACAAAGATTTTTAAGATGGCATTTATCTAAGAGGATGCAGTATTGTTTGTATTTAACGGACTGTATTTTGGTATTCAGTTTTTTTTCAATTCTTCATTTTATACATAAATGTTTTCCATGTTTGATTGTTTTTTGGTTCTGGGGTTTGAACACTGGGTGTTTTATCATGAGCTATAATATCACCTGTTATGGTTTATATGTGGTATCCCTGAAAAGCTCACCAGTGAGACATGCAAGAAGGTTTGGAAGAGAAATGATTGGGCTATAGCCTTAACCTTATCAGTTAATTAATCCCTGATGGGATTAACTGGTAGCTGGAGGCAGGTGGGTGTGGCTGGAGGAAGTGGTTCATTGGGGGCGTGGCTATAGGGTATATATTTTGTATCTGGAGAGTGGAGTCTCCCCCTTCCTCATCTTCCCCTCCCACCTTCTCCCTCTCCATTCTCCCTCTTGCCCTCCTCTCCTCTTTCTGGTCTTCTTGAGAGCTGTTTTCCTCCACCACACTCTTCTTCTGCCAAGATGTTCTGCCTCACTTTTAACCCAAGAAATGGACCCAGCTTCAATTTAGACTGAGAGCTCTGAAACCATGAGCCATCAAATAAACTCTTCGTCTCTAAAATTGTTCTGGTTCGGTCTTTCAGTCACAGTAGTGAAAAGGCTGACTAAAACATCACCCCTTTTGATTTTTAATTTTTAGACAGGGTTTTGTTAAACTGCTGAAGTTATGTTCCATTTATGATCCTCCTGTCACAAGCTACTGGGATTATGGGCCTGTGCCACCATTTCCAGGTATAAAAAGCATTTCTTCTTCTTCTTCTTTTTTTTTTTTTGGTACTAAGGATTGAACCCAGGAGGATTTTTACCACTGAGCTATATTACCAGCACTTTGTATTCTTTATTTTGAGACAGGATCTTACTAAGTTGCTGAGGTCCTTAATAACTTGCTGAGGCTGGTCTTCAACTTGGAATCCTCCTGCCTTAGCCTCTGAGTCCCTGGGATTCCAGGCATGTGCACCACCCAGCTTAAATAGCATTTCTTAATTATATGGAATAAAAAATATCAGCATGCCTTGCACATTGTAAAGAGAAAGTATTGTTTTGTGAAAAAAAAAATTTCACAGTTTGTATGTGTTGAATTATATGTGTTTCAGTGTTGGTTTGCTGTAAAAAGAAAAAAGCCCTCTAAAGTTAGGAAAGAGAGATGTAGCTTTAAATGCTTATGTAACAAAACAAAAAAAGATAAAATTATTGATCTATGCTTGTACTTTAATCTAGAAAACTAAGAGCAAATTAAAGTTGGGGTAAGTAGAAAATGAAAATAATAATGATAAAATTCAATAAAATTAAAAGAAGACAGAGAA